TGGAGGTGGGGGGTTTAAAACAAAATTTACGGGGATTTTTGGTGGTTGGGGGGGGGGGGTGGTGGCGTTTATAAAAAAATTACGGGGGGTTTTGGAGGTGGGGGATTTTTGAAAAATTTAGGGGGAACTGAATTTATCTAAAAATTTGCAATTGTGTCCTTCCATAAGTTACTGATGTCATGGCGTCCGTCAAATTGATTCAGACCGTCGGATGGAGGCCTTTGGACAGTCGGGATCTCACCTGGACTGGATATTTTTCCTTAATTTCTTAGGAACTCAGACTTTTATTCAAGTGTAAGGATGAAACGTCGCTAACTCGCTATACTATTACTCCCTTCATTTCAGAATGTAAGTCGTTTTAACATTTTTAGACAAATTAGTACTATTTTTTCAACTTTACCTCCAATAAATAATGTCAATCCATTTTCATGTACTCTTGTTTATAGTTCCAATGTAATTAATGAGGGGTAAAATATATATTTAATGTAAAAATTTACTGTTAAATAATTATCTCCTTAATTTAAGTACAAATTCTAAATTGACTTACATTTTGAAATTTTGAAATAGAGGGAGTACATGAAACCCTATTAAACGATATATTACTCTTCTTTTTTACATCATTCCTACTTGCTTCAATTAGTTTAGACGAGACAAAAATTAAAATTAAAGATTTAAGAAGGATAACTATTTCATATTTTTTTTTGGATGGTACACAGTGAGGTTGTAAATTCATAGTTAAAAGTTCAGAATCCATGTAAATTTGAACTCTGGAAATACAAAAATTTTGGATGTTTCTTGCAAGGCAAATAAAATGGTCATTGTTTTTGCTTGAAAGGGTGAAAGTATCTACAAATTAGAAGAATTTAGTTGCATAGTCATGTGATAGGTAAAGTGATCTTCCAAACACTAGCTGCTTTTCGTGTTTGTGGATGGAAGGATCCATCAAACATAAAAGTTGATTCTAGGGGATCGCTATTGCCGATATCTAGCTGAAGAACTTGGTTAGCTCTCAAAGATCCGACTACAATCCGCCATTCCTATGCCATAAGATTTTCATGTAATCTGATATCTTGTAGAGATAGATTCCATGTAATCAGAGGGTCATGCCATTGATTTGTCCAAATTCGATCATTTGGATCTATCATAACCTCCAAATGATATGAAACATTAAGTCTAAGGTAATTGAGAAACCTGAGGGCATCCTTGGATGCAACAAACTGTGTATGCTTAGACGTTTACGCTTAGACTTCCTAACCCCAAGTGTTCCAAGGTAATTGAGTAGGAACCATGCATGTTTTCTCTTACTCTGCGACTAAGAGAATCAGAGGATAATTATTGATATCTATTCTTCATCAGGGAGACCTAACATGTGAAGAGTCCACACTCATGTATAGCCTCAACAGTGACAGGAATCTCTAATCCATCGAGCTCATCAGGTAAAATACCAATGGCCCTCAAGAAACCATAGACACGGGCACGATTTTCTGTCCTCACAGACCTCATCTGTTCCATATTAGGATAAGTATCCAACAACCGTGACATCTGTTGCCGCCTCAAAAACTCATTACTACCTATGTTTGTCTGGGAGAAGGATGATTAAATAAGCAGTGGAAAGTGTTCTATCAGTAACCAAACAGTGTAAATGGATGAAACAACCGAAATCAACTAGCCTTACAAAATGTGATAAATGTCAAAATGTCAAATAAATTAGGCCTTGATATTCTAGTTTTCTATACACCATCACACTTCTCAGAAAACAACAAAAAAAGAATTCGGAAGGCAACGTTCATGTTAGATTTTGAGGTCACAGGAGAATGCAATCGTTATTTCAAGGCTCAATGATTGTCATGAACATCTCATAGTTTTCTCGAGTTGGCTGAAACCATCAACATCCAAATTTCAATTTACCATACCCTACGTTTTAGCTGTTGCAGCAGCTAAAACAGCAAGTTTTTTTAAATAATCAATGTAGTCCCTGCGACTCATTTATTAAATGATAACATATGCGCAGCCTACAACGAGCCGAATTCTGGGTTCTTAAAATGGAAGCAGAACTACAAAACAAGATGGGGATAGTTATAGTTAAAATCTTTGGATAAAAGACAAGCTCAGTAGCTACAGAGCAGTAAGATTCTTATGATAATATGGAGAAATTTGCAGAAGAGATGGTAAAAACATAAAGCTATGTCCAAATGAATTACGCAAAAGGATACAGCTTATTGTCACAAGGAAAGTAAGGGCCAAATCAAAAGCCCTCTGAAACCCTAGCTTCTAACCTATAGTGAGTTAGCTGCAACATTTGATGACGGTACCAATAAGTGTCAACTAACAAACTTCCCCCAAATACTATAGCCTGAAGACTCATTCCAGAAACAAATTCCTTTGTTTGAATATATACCAAACATTCAGCAGGAATTGCCCCAAAAAAAAGAGATATTGCTGCCATTTTCTGGACAGTACCAACTCTAAATATTGTTGCCACTTTACCCAATGTTTATGAAGTTCTTTCGACTAAAAAGTTTTATGAGTAAAATAGGGGACTAAAATGTCCAAATGGTCCCTTACATTTGGGCTTACTTGATTTTACGTCCCTAACATTAACATTTCAATATCGTAGTCCCAAACATTATATTTTCACACTTTTTTTTGTCCCATTTCACTGTTTCGGCCACTTTTCCGTCCAACTCGATGCTGACCGGTAGTTGATTTGCCGGAATCAGGGGTATTTTCGTCTTTTGACTTAATTTAAACTTTTATTGAAATTTAAATCATTAAAAATAGCATAAAATTCACATTTAATTATTTAATTGCTAAAATATTATTCATTAATTTAAAATATTATTATAAAATTTAAAAATTACATTATTTTTAAAAAATTTCTTTTTCTATTTATCATTTATGCTGGATACAAAATAAATATTAATTACGTTCCATTTTTAACTCCATATCAATCAAAAATTTTACCGCACTACAGTAACTAATTCAAAATTCAATTTTTTGTTTAAAAAGAAAAAGCAAACTAAATTTTTTATCCGAATTTTCACCTACCAATTTTTTATTCGGTCGAAGTAAAAAATCCAGCGGCCCTGAAGGGAAGAAAATTGAGGGGGCAAAAATCTGGATAAAAAGTGGTTTATTTTAATTTATAGTTTGAATTGGAGATATAATTTAAAATGTGGTTTTAGTGAACATTTAAAAAATTGTTGGGATAGAAATTCAAATAAAATAATATTATCTATACACCACCACCTCCACACCTCCACCGACGCCGCCCGCCACCGGATCACCTCCTGCCGCCGCTGGCCGGATTCAGCGGCGGAGGTGGTTCAGCGGCGGGTGGCGTCGGTAGAGGTGTGGAGGTGGTTGTGTAAAAATAATCTTATTTTATTTGAATTTTTAACCTAAACAACTTTTTGAATTTTCACTAAAACCACATTTTAAATTATATTTTCAATTCAAAGCAATAACTAAGCCAAAAACTTAAATAAACCATTTTTTATCCGAATTTTCACCCCACAATTTTCTTGCATTTTTTTTTAAATTTTGAATTTGTAATTAATTATTATAGCGAGGTAAAATTTTAGAAATAACTCAAGATTTATTGTAGCTGTCAACGTTAAAAATCTTGGTTTTGTTTTTTTTTTTAATTTGAATTTTGAATTATTTATTGTGACTCGGTAAATTTTTAAAGTTATAGTCGGCGGTTAAAAGTGCAACATAATTAACATTTATTTTAATAAAGAAAAAGGTAACTTTGAAAATAATTTAAAATTTAAAATTTTAAAATAATTGTTTTAAATTAATAAATAATATTTTAACAATTAAATAATAAAAGTGAATTTTTATAATATTTTTAATGATTTAAATTTTAATAGAAGTTTAAATTATATAAAAAGACAAAAATACCTCTGATTCCGGCATGTCAACTGCCGGTCAACATCGAGTTGGATGGAAAAGTGGTCGAAACAGTGAAATGGAACCAAAAAAGTGTGAAAACATATTGTTTGGGACTACGATATTGAAATGTTAATGTTAGGAACATAAAATTAAGTAAGCCCAAATATAAGGGACCATTTAGACATTTTAGTCAAAATAGGGCTTCTAAATAGAAAAAACAGAGTCGTAAACAATTACAGTATTTCCCTATTATTACCAGAATCATCATAGTTAAAAAACTTTTAAAAAAAATAAAAATCACAGTTACCAAATTTAACTTCAAGAGGAATTCTATCTACATTTGTACCAGCTCCTCCTTTGGTATATGCTACCTTCTCCATCCATGATCAGCAAAACCTTCTGTTTAAATTAGGTTATTTCTCCCCCACTCGTGTTCATAACAAACTGTAAGTAGTGCAGAATCTCCAAGTGCTTGAAGTTCACTACCCAAATAAATTCTCTCAATTGTAAAAGCCATAGTGTCTCTATTTTCACTGCATAACCTATAATGATTCTAATTTCACTGCACAAATTGACCATTTAGCTTCAATTTTCACAGATTTGAGAATCTGACCACAATTTACACGGTCTATCGACTTGACTAATGCTGATACTACCCAATTCATTCACATTACAGCTACCCATCATTTCTAAGTTTCTAGTAGAAATAAAAGAATCAGAATCAACCAAATGTAGAAAACTCTCTTAAACTAAGGAGTAAGGACCACAATAACTGTTGGACAACACGATCTAGGCTGCATAGCCTGCATTTGGCATATTTAGATCATCATTTTTAGTAGCAACAAAGCACGGGACTGTTGGCTACATTAGAGGACTCCACAATTTCATTTTTGACATTCATAGTTTTAGAAGAACGCAGAATTTAAGTCAACCAAATCATCTTCCAGATACTTTCCTAAATGATTATATCCCCAGATTCACCCTTCATGATCACAGAGGTATCATCATCAAATGGACTTCAAAAATTTTATAAGAGCTGAGAAACTTTAATTTCTTCATTATAATCTCTTTCTAATTTCTGAGAAGCAAACCAAGAATGTAATGATAGCAGATTTTTTACAGATACCTAGCCTCAGAATTTTTCACTAAGATCAACAGATAGTCTGAGCAAATTTTACATATGAAGAAAGATAGGGAAAAAAAAATGCAAGAAAACAGAAAACAAAAAAAGAATGCTAACACGGAAATGATAGAATGTCTTGCAGGCCCATATGATGACAATCCAGTACAATGGAACTCAATCCTCCCTTCACATCAAAAGGGCCACTGCTCTCTTCAAGTATCCTCCTCTTTCTCCTCCACTTTGCGACTTAGGTCCTACTCCAATTTACCACTAAGATCCTTAAGATAATCCTCCGGCAGTAGATGGTGTTCAATTAACTCAGACTCAAATGGTTCATTGATGTCCTCACCCCTCCTCAATATATGGCGCATGTTGCAGGGAAGGCAACGTTTAGGAACGGGATTCGACTCAGACTCATGATAGCACAAACAATGATGATATTTTCTACACTGAGCACAAAGAAACACCCTCATCCTAGCATTGTAATATCGTGCACCACACGTGCATGCCAATCTTTTTGTGCCTCCCTGATATCTGAATCTCACCTCTGGACTGATGTTAGCACCCTTCACCACAATATTTCCTGACTGCAGACAATCTGAAACCAAGGTAGAGTCTACTTGCCCAACACAATCTTCAATAGAGCTCAAGTTGAAATTTCGGCATACGGCATAGGCTTCCCTAATCGCTTCCTGCACTGCTTTTTTCAGCTGTCCAACATTCGAATCAACAGGAACCTGAACATAAATTCCTTGAGGCTTGCAGGGTGATTCTTCATCGGCAAACTGAGATTGGAGGATCAGTTTAAACCATATCTCTTCACTGTTACCATTGTAGGGAGTATATGGCCGTCTGATGATTTGGTTTGCATGACCTTCCCAACTAATAAGGGTTGGATGTAGGAAATTACAAATCCTAACCCAAAACTCCCTCAAGTCTCCCTCTGTGAGGGTTCCACCAGCCTGAACTCCAATAATATGGCCATAACCGGAGGAGTGGATGACTCCGTGCAGCAGGTAGTTTCTTGTGTAGGTTTGCCTGTCCAGTTTGATCATCTTCTGATTCCAAAATCCTTCTGGAGGCAGAATAAAATGATAGGACTTGGTGGACACAAAATGTCCACCCCAATCTGATAAGAAGAGTCCAATCAGGATTCAGATTATGGAAATAGTAGATGAATTCATCCAAAATTTACAAAAAAACATTAGACTCTGTAAATAATTATACAGTGGGGCAAAAACGGCAAAAAAGACACACAAGAGACGGGAAATATACTATCTTTCCAAATAAATTAAAGAATCCAACCAAAATTCCAGAGCCCTTTTCTTTATATAACAAAACACCAAAGAACCCTTTTCACCGAATTCAATATAAAAAATAAAAAATGAAAAAAAAAAACCTTTTCACAGGAGGGCTTTCTTTATATCGGGATTTCAATACACTTTTTTTTATCCAAAATCAAAAGACAAACAATGTGAACAAATAGACATTGTAATTATAATTATAACAATAACTCCTCACCTGCATGAGAGCAGTGAATACAGATAGGATCGCCATTATCTTGATTTTCCTGCTCCGGGACGAACGGTTGCTCGATTAGGTAAAACGGAACATTACGGGCGCCCAACAGTAACTGAAATTTCCAAGCTTTCACTGGTCGTTGATGGTAATTTCTGCTTGAAGCAGCGAGGCTAGTGAAGGAGGCCAGATTGGCAAGAAAATGGCGGTGGTTAGCAAGTTCTTGAGGAAAGTTTAGGAGCTCCATCGAAAAGGTGGGTTCTAACAGAGGTATTGCCGTCCAAAGAAAAGATTTTTTTGGGGGGGAAACCCTTCTTTGCAGGTTTGAGGTAACAAAATCGGGTCTTCTTATGTGTAGGGGAGAAGAAAGATTCTTGGGATAAAGCTTCAGGTAGATAGAAGAAAGTGGGTTCAGAGAAGAGTACCGGAGGTAACTCCGTCCAAAGAAAAGATTTTTTTGGCCGGGAAAACCCTTCTTTGCAGGTTTGGAGATAAAAAAATTGGGTCTTATATGGGGGAGAAGAACAAAATGGGAGAAAAGATTTCCATCTGGTGAAAGGGGCTCTTAGCACTTTCCGGCAAGAATAACAAAATCTGCTAATATATATAGGAAGGCATTCTGAGGGTATGAGAAAATCTAAAGTGATTATGCTCTTCATTACTACGTGCATTGCAAGGAATATGGTTTGGAAGAATAGAAATTTTAAGTAATGGAATTCCGAAATCCTAATTTGGGAGACAGAATTGGGGAAGAACAAAAGAAGAGAGGGGAAGGAGAAATGAGACTGATGAAGTAGAAATGAGACTGCCAGGCCTATATATACTACTAGGATCAATTACATTTTAAACCCCCAATATTTTGTTTTATTTGCAATTATTCCCTATATGATAGTAAATACAACTAAAGCCCCTTGACCGGTAAGTCAACCAAAAGCATTTATTCTCTCCGTCCCGAAATTCTTGTCTAGTTTGAATTTTCATTTTTAGTTCAAATTGTACTTAAACTGAAATTTTAAGATGGACAATAATTTTGGAATAGAGAGAATATATTTTACTGAATGATGATACAAACTATGAAATTAAACATTGAGTGGTACAGTTGAAGGATAAATTGACAAAATAACCAAATAACATCTAACTAGCAAATTGAAAAGGCAAATTTGTTTATGTAGAACTTCTATAAATTAATAATGTTAGGGTCACCACAATTTACTAATTTAGAAAATTATTAAATAATATATAAATTATTAAATTATTAATTTAAAGAATTTATATGAGAAAAAAAGAACCGTCACTAAATTACGTAATTTGTAGTTGTCTTTGCATCCAAATTAATCATGTATTCCCTCCATTTTGAAATATATGCCACTTTAGAATTTGGTGAATTTTTTTAAATATATGTCATTTTCACAAATCGAGGTACATTTGACCACTTTTTATCAATGTTACCCTTGCATTTGAAATGAAACAATATTTATAATAAATTTCTATTGGTTTGTGATGAGTTGCATAAAAAATAAATAAGGGTGTTTTTATTTTTTAATACGTTAATCAATGATTTCTTGGTTTTGATGAGTTTTCTAAAAAGACATATAATAAAAAATAGAGAAAGTATTAAAACTCTTCTGAGTACTAAATATACATACATAGTTCATATTATCTCTGACTAAAAAACAAGTATCAATAGTTCATGTTGTAATATATATTTATAGTTTTTTTTAGAGTATTTATTAATTTATGGTATTGTTGGGACCTATAGATATATAGGTGATTTTCTGAAACATTATTATCTTATCATTTTCTCGATTTTGTTCACTTTTTGTACTAATCCTAAGTTAGGACCGCAGAAAATTATTAATTGTTAGAAATTATTAATTTATAGATTATTGATTTACCGATGTTCTACTTACTGTGTAAATTAGTTAGACTGTCATTATCGTATTTCATTGCACATTTTTATATAGTTTTATGCTTCTTTCTTAAAATATTATACAATATTAAAAAAATAGACAATGAGAGAAAATAAAGTGATGTATCACGTCAGAGGCGGAAGGAGATGGGGGCCAGCCGGCGCAGTCGTGCCCTCTACATTTGTTTTTGTAGGAGTTATGTATTTTATGTGGAAAGCAAAATTAAATATAATTTTTGAACCCCCTTCTATTTGTGAATATATAAAATAACTAAAATAATTTTCATGAGTTCAAAATAGCTGTTGCACTCGTGTTATAATTGTTTTTCCAATAAAAAGCTAGCATAATAAAGTTTGTCAAGAAATGTATGTTATTTGATTTCTTGTGCTTGTTTGGACGTCAGCTTACATTTCATTTTGCTACTTAAAAGTGGAAAGTGTTTCAAATTGAAAAATAAATAGGAAAATGAAAATGTTGTTTTGATGATATTTTGAGCAAAAAGTTGTTTGGATGTTGGCTTTGAAAAAAAATATTTTGAACTATATTTTGAAATATCAAGTACGAGTCATCACTAAACAATTATATACTATCAATTATAGTCACTTTAAAAAAAATATTTCCAAAAACAATCACTAAATAACGGAACCCTGCCAAATTTATCACTAAACTATTGTTAGTTCTAAAATGGTCATTACACTAACAAAAAGTGTTTCAAGTTGGAATTTAAAATGTAAATCAGAAAGTTGTTTGGATGATTTTTTTTTTTACATTGGATTTTGTGTTTAAGAGGTAAAATGAGTTAAAATGTAAAATGAGTGAACAAACAAACAAATACGTTTTTATATTTAAATGACAATGATGTATAGTCACTTATACAAACTGAGGATGAGTCAAGAGCCCAAACTAAGTTCGTAGTTGTCAGTTATCGGCCGGAATTGGAAATAAAAGAAAGACTTAGGCTTGCCGAAATAAAGAGAACGACTTGTCATAATAAGAGTTCAGAGCCAGGGAGGAAGCAAGGGAAGAATAAGAGAAGGAATTACTATAAGAATTAGAAAAAGGTGATTAACAAACAAGTGAAGAAGGAGTTTCTCATTAACATAGAACAATTAGAAAAAGGAGTTTCTTTATATATAAAAAAAAAATAACTAAAATATCCAATGGCTAAACAGGTGCTGCCTTATAATTACTTCAAACCAGCCCCCTATATGTGACAGTAGTACAAATGTGAGATAGTAAGTCTAAACCAAAGTCTTACATTGTATGAAGTAAAAGACCATAAAATATATTACGTTCCAAAAAAATTATGAGAGTTATATGTTGGTCAAGTTGGGTTTCTATTTCTAATGTGGGACAAGTGTCTTTCACTTATTTTTAAGTTCAAAGGGATCTTAACAAACCTAAATTCTAATTCTACCCTTCATGTATAACTGATTTGAAAATACTATTTAATTAGGAAAAGAAGAAAATTTGTATAATCATGAATATTACTCTCAATTGGAAATTTATTCAAAACTAGTTTGATTATAGTTGCGCGATGCACGATTACTTTACATTTATAGTGCATTGTCTAAAAATTTGGATAATAATAATTTTATAATAAAATGTAATTTATAGTTAAAAAATATTGAAATGAATAACAAATAACAACAATAAGAAATTTATTAAAAAACTAAAAGAAAAACTTGGAGCGAATCAGAGGAGTTTCCATTCACTACCTTCTTCTTTGTTACTTTACATGTTGATCTAATCAGTAGTCTTACTCTATATCTTTCATAATCATATGATATGTTCTATCAGAAGAAAGTATGGCTTGAAAATGTATCTCAATAGGCATGCTTAACTTTTAAATACTTCTTCTATCTCAAAAAAAAAAAAAAAAATCATGGTAATTTTTTAAAGGACAAAATGCACTTTTCGTCCTCCAGCTTTTGAGGGTAACAAGATCGAGTCACCATAAATTTTTAATTGGTAAAAACAGTCCCCTAAAATGTTTTTCTGGTCAATTTTAGTTGATTTAACATAACTTTTTTAAACTTAACTATCAAACAATTTTTCCCTTAAGTAATTAATTTTTTTATTAATTTCCTTATAAATAGTGGGGTCCACTACTTTGACCCAAAAAAAAACAATGTTTTTTCTTTTTCATTTATTTTTATTTTAAGATTTCATAACTTTTTTTTTATTAAGGTTAATTTCCTCTAATTCCGTTAAAAAGACCAAAAGTGGTACTAAAAAACTTTATGGGGACTAAAATTGGAGATAAAATGTTTGTGGTGACTGGGTTGGAATACTGTAAAGCTTTTACAATATAGAGAAAAACAACAATTTGTGGGGTGAATTGAAAGACATAAGGCAGAGTATAATCTTGCCAGATGTCTCACCATCATGGCTTCCTATTTTATTGATTCAAGATATGCTCAAGAAGAAGATGGAAATTAAAGAACACCACAAATTCATAAAGAAATTCTTGATTTATCAGTTTTTGCCACTCTTGAGTTAAACTATATTTCAAAAACTTTCTAACTATTATCACTATAAAATACTTCCTCCTGTTTTTAACATAATGCATTTGATTTTATTCTAGCTTTCACTTAGTACGCATTTTTAATTGATGAAAAAATTTTAAAATTATATTTTCATATTCGTTGTATTCTTTTCATTGTTATGGAATATTTTTAAGATTTTTTGATCAATTAAAACAGGTACTAGGTTAAACTTATGATAAATCAAAATTTCTTATATAAAGAACTGGAGGGAGTAACATCAAGAGAAAAAAGGAAAGACGATATCTAACTAGTAACTAATATGAGAACAACAAATCATCAATGAGGTCAATTAACTAACTAGTATAATATACTCCGTTCGTCTTGAAATTTTTGTCCATTTTGAATTTTTATCTTTAGTACAATTTGAACTAAAAATGAAGATCGACACTAGACAATAATTTTGGGACAGAGAAAATATAAATATGAGTTGTATTAATCATTTTGGGCCTAAAAGAACTGCATTAAAATGAAATGAATTGTTTGATTTCAAGGCAAAAAGTGATAGTCCATGCAATTTGGTCGAAAATGTATTTTAGAAAATGATACCTTAAAATGAAATGAATTGTGTCTCTAATGAAAATAATCTATCTATATATATTAATAGAAGATGAAAAAAGCTGATGTGGCGCAAAAATAAGAATTCCAATTAAATTGATTTAAAAATTAGATATTACTAGACATTTTATAATTTTACGTTTTGACTTAGGATAAAAAAAAATCCAAATATTTGGTTACACAAAATCTTAGCCAACAATCTAAAGATAATTAAGAGATTTTCTCCAAATAATTATGATTTTTTCAAAAAAAAAAACGTACAATATGATATCTAGTAAGAGATTGGTTATGCACAAATGGGTGGTTAAAATTTTTTTACATTATTTTCTAAAAAATTTATTATTTATTTTTAAATAAGTTATGGTTGACTTATATATATCTCTCTTAATTTTATTGTATATTTTCATAATTTAATAATATTTAGTGAATATTTTAATACTTAAATTTTTAAAAATTTTCAATTGTGTTTAAGAAAAAGTTAATAGTTAAACTCCGTTAAAATTTTTTCTTCAAATTTTCAATTTGATTCTATTTATAATAGTTATTAAACTCCATTAAATTTTTTAGTATTTAATAAATATAAATGACTCATCTCTTTAGGAAATAAATTTTACACCCCTCACATATTTTTCTGTACAACGCACGTGGTAAAAACTAGTAGTTTCTAATACGAGAATGATCAATGAGGTGGTTAATATTAATACTACGGGCCTAAAGTTCTAAGAGATGTAGTATAAGTCCACTGATACTTTATCCAAAA